TATCTTTTCGTGTCTTTAAATCTTATCGTAGGGAAAAAGAATCGGAGCGACCTCGCGGATCCGTGATTCTATTTCGATGTAAGTCCGTGTGCGTCGCGTGGGAATGATTATAAAATCATATCACGTCGGCGAGAAATAATCCTTCGGAAGCTAAAAAAACTGGGATTTATGTGGTAGTTTAGCACACGATGACGTCGTAAAACTGCACGGGCATGCGTACGTGTTGTTCTGACAAAGTGGGAAAGGAAACAGCAGCCCTGCCGGACGCGACTCGAGTCTCTCCTCCATACATCGGACGGCATTGTCTCTCGGGAAATATACGATTTTAGATCCGCCTTCTGTTTCCGAGAAATTTACTTCTTCCGTGCTCCCTCCGGCCACCCGCGATCACGTCCCCCATCACGCTCGATTACGCGGCGGGGAGACACCACTTTATATCGCGACTTATTGCTGCGTGAAGCGGAATAGATTTATAAAGCAATACTTTCTCAGATTTTTATAATAGTTTCCATACCTTGGCAGACACTCTCCTGGAAGATACCACTCCTATTGTTTTACTCTAACGTCTTCGATCGCAGTTGATCTGACCCGAAATGGGTTGGATTGATAGAGCGTATAACGTCATTAATCCAATTTAGATCGGTTCGAACCCCCGCTAGGATCAAAAACGGTTATAACACACACTTTTTATTCGCAGAGCGCCGCAAAGCCTTGATAGAAACGATGATCGAAACGATTCTACTTTATTCTACCCTTCGTATCTTTTTATACCCTCGGTCTATTTCCTCTTCAACGTCCTCTTAAATAATACACAACAGAGAGAGAGCATCGTCTCGCCATTCGGCTTTTATCGGAATCTTCGTGGACGAACGTGATTTCCACGCATCCCTCGGGAGTTATGAGAGCGGCGCAAACCGACTTACAAAACGTCGACATGAATAATGCAGACGCCAAGTCGTCCCTCGTATTTATGTCCGGCGCCTACCGCGATAAACCTAAGCTCCTTCAGCTATCCATCCATCAATGAGCTTAAACCCCGGTGCGTTACATTGCGGAATTACATGCTTCACGTCGACGTACGTCTTGCCGCGATAAAACGTGTCGGCTCTCCCTCTTCTGCTTCTTCGCTTGATTTAATCTCGAGATAAATATGACTGTATTACGCACCCCTGAGGAACGAGATCGCGCGACCTTTGCGTAACTCCGCCGCACGTCGACGTGAAAAATAGGTTCGGGGCGGCGTAGGCAGCATCTAGCGAGCGCCTATTTGTGCCCCCTTTCGCGGTAGGCAAATGATCCCGACTCGGTGGTGAGGGTGCAATCTCGCAGCGAGCGAGATAGGGGCGCGTGCGCGCAGCTGCGCAGATTTTACATCCCTCAAGATCAAGAGGATCGACTGTGTGTATCGGAGAAGGACCGGTACTCGGTCTAGCAGCCCCCCCCCCCCAGACACGAATTCGTATCTCTGGCACATTTGACAATACACCATATACTCGTACCCGCGCGCTGATTGCCAATCTGCTTCTCTCTCTCTCTCTCTACTTCGCACGGAAACGTGTCGGCCGGATGGATTTGCCGGCTGCGGAATCACGGGGATGCGGTTACGACGCAGTTTCTAGGACGATGTAATTTCGAGTCTGGGGTAGAGGAAGGTTGTTTTTATCGCGGCGGTTTTAATCGGGAATGATGAACGAAATCACCAATCGCCTTTCAAACGTTACACGGACCGTTGCGATAAAAACAGATAGAAATCTGAAGGAGACTTTAACTACGGAGTACAGTTGATTTTGCGATCCTTCGTTTGAATTTTTCGCTCGGAAAGAAAACGGAAGGTTTTACGGTCTCTCTTGAAAATCGAATAAAAAATTGATCGATAATAATCCTCGCCACCATTGTTTGCTTTAGCTCGTCGATTAGCTCGTCGAGATTAAATTTTTCATTCGTCACTCTACGCAGTTTGAATGAAATAATAATTAGCGCCGTTGCAGCGGCTGTGATTATCATGCGCATAAGTAGAACAATCGATGCGCGATAAAGCCGTAACCGTGTAGAGGTTTGCCGGTACAGGCGATTTCATATTTACTCCCTTATCTCTCGTCGCGCGTTTATCACCCTGCTAATCTTAATTAAGTGTAATTATCACCAGCTTTGTCGTTTGTCAAAGTTTCGGCGAATCTTGATAGCACAACGACATATGCTCGCTTCTTGCTCGGGCGCCTTCGCGGAATTAACAGCATCAGCTATAAACACGATTCTGCTAATTAGCAAAATAATTAGTCGCATTTAGTCGCATTTAGTCAATAGATCAAAGTGAAAGGTATAGAAGTAGGATAAAGTAACGGCCACAAAACCGTACTCCGAGCGAGGAAAACATCTCGGAGCAATTTATTAATTAGCGTCTTAAACCTTTCAGTCTCACTCTCTCTCTCTCTCTCTCTCTCTGTACATCAAAAATTCCTTTGTCCTAATTGAGGTTTTCGCTCTTCGCACTTGGCTGGCGGCGCAGCGAGCATTCCTCAAATTCAACCGCAACTGCGCTGTGCAAATCCGGACGAGGGATCCGTGGGATTTCACGCTCTACCGATCGAATCTTAAGATGATCGGATGTAATATCGTCAAGGTCGTTGGAACGAAGCCCACGTTGCTCTTTCCCTCTTTCCCCCTTCAATCCTGATCCGCCTTTAGATTTCCCAGATCGGAATCCCCGGGATTAGTATCCATTTCCCCTGGGCACGGCGCGGCACCTCGGTGAGGTCTACTCCACGATAGAATTTATTCCGAATAGCATCGCGAGCGAGCGAATACGGCACACGAATGCGAAATAGTCCCTTCTACGAGATCTGATTCGCTTTATTATTCCATTGTGACAGCTAACATCGCTACCTCCATGTTAATTCGCCGCATAACGTGCCGGCGATGCGGCGACGCTAGGCGAGTTATACGGACGTTTTAAAGACGCGTCATTGCGATAATTTCACGCGTTCACGATGTATTGTATTTTAAAAAAAGAATATATATATATATACATATATTTCCGTATATTCTCCGCATTGCGCCGTTTTTTTTCCCCTCCGTCTCCGTGATCGCATGTAAACGGCACCACCGTGACACACGCGAGACATTTTTCTGAACACATTCTTTCAGGGGTAAGTACGAGATCTCATTCGCTGGTGAAGAGATTCGACGGGATTTACACGGGGCCTTACTTCGACTCGAACACTCCAACGAATATCACGGCGCAGTTGGGCACTCATGCTTATCTACCGTGCAAAGTGCGGCAGCTTGGTAACAAATCAGTAAGTTGTCCGATATCATATAGTCCCAAGCGGAACAACAAGTGACGTTAAAATGACATTAAAACGAATTGGAAATGATTGAAAAACGACTTTTAACGATCATTTTGGAGTTATTTTGACGTCACTTTGATACCATAATGACTTGTTGTTCTGCTTAGGATAGGTCTGTTTTTTTATCCCTGCTAGACTATGTTAGAATTCTCTTTCTCGCTCTTTCGCCAAATATCAAAAATATACCTATGTCACCACTGTTCAAGTTCCAAAAGTGTACACAGAAAACAGATCTAATAACAAAGCATTTCGGCATAAAAAGGCCGTGAGCGTCAAAAATGAAGAGAACGGTTTTTCTTCTCGGTGAACGAGCGAATATAAACACGGAAAGAAAAATTAATTTTAATTACATGAGACGCTCACGGCAATTTTTATATCTTATGTATTGTAATTAATCCTCGAGCGAGGATGTTGTAATTTCATATATATCAATACGATTGTCATCGCGTGCTGTCGATTTGATCTAATTTATTCTTGTCATAGTCTCCCGCATCTTTGATAGACGTTGCCTTGCTCGTTACGTGTATTGATTACAAATTTGATTTATTAACGAGCACATTTGTCGATAATGGCCAAATTCCTGCGTGGCAGTTACGACAATGGTACTCCATTTGAGGTAATGACAACGCTTAAAAAGTGCAAGGAAAAATTGTTAAAACTGAGTCGAGGAGAGATCATTTCCTCGTTTTCAATCTCTCTTGAATATACTGAAAAGAAAAATTAGTTATCATAATTTAGCTCAGTTATAATAGTGATAGCTACCAAAGTGTTTTAGTTAAATATTTGATTAATATAATCGAGAGATTTAATAACTATTATACTAAATAGTTTAAATTTAGAAATTGTTTATAAAGCTAGATGATTATTGGCAAATCGTATAGATAAATATAATCAAACGAGAATTGGCAAATATGCGTAGTTAAATTACTTACTTGCTAATAAATACTGAATAATAATATAGGTACGTATTACTAAATTTATCATAAATAATCAAATAATTGGTTTTTTAGTTATTTGATTTAATGAATATAAATTGTTAGGTCTTAATTATATTGTATGATTTGATAATAATTATCTCGTTTGGATTTATTTCGTTCAAAATTATTAACAATTTGCTAATTACACTCAGAGAAAACGACATAAGGTATGTTCTTTCTAGCTAAACTTTTGCATAGTTCAACTTTTTTCTTTTTTCTCTGAAAGAAAAAGAGTAAAGATGGAGTTCAGTTAAAATGGACAGACTTACAATGTTAGCATTTATATAGATGATTATTTGCCTGAGTTTCAGTCATATAAACTCGATTGTATAAAAAGCTCAATTAAATTTTACATAAGAAATAGATACTATTTAAGATACTATTTAAGTGACAGTCCAGGATATCTTGACGCTATTTATAAAATATTTTATGCGCTTATTTGCTTCAAATAATCTGATAACTATTATCGAATCAATTAATAAATCTTCGTATAATTCGACCATAATTATCACACGTTCGATTAATGTTATTAAATAATTTGGTTTTAAGTACTTAAATTATTTAATTGGACCAACTAATCGTTAATTATTTTATTTTTATAAATATTTAGTAATTATTATTAAACAATTACTATTATTACGTTTAGTAATACTCATTAAATATTGCCAATACACACAACAAAATACATTTGGCAGCTGTTAGAGAGAGCTGAGATTTCCTTCTCAGTGTACTATCCCGTTATTCACACGCGGACAAGTCAATCTACACGCATGCGTCCATTCGACGTTATTTTATTATTAACGACCAACTACCGGATTACGATCAACGCATCAAAGCGACGTCCGGAGTTATGTCCGTTATCAATCATTCGTTTCACTAATGTCCCGGGAATATCGCCGACCTTGGACAGCGACTATTTCTATCAAAGGCTCACAGATAATAAAAGGTCGTAACTAATATATTTCAATCGTTATCGCGTTCTATTTCCTCCGTGTCGGATAACTGTCGGCGACAGATAGCCCGCCCACGTGTCACGAGCTGTTAAATCGTCCTCCACGATCGGCATTCCCTTTTATCGAATCAATTCGTCCCGTTTAATAAAACGCCAATCCGCTAATAATTCGCGGTTTATTCCGCTTTCTTCCATTAAGTCTACTCGCGCTGCTTGTATTTTTTGCACTCGGCATCTTCTTTCTCTCTCTTCAAACGTCTCTTCACGTCGAGACACATATTGACCGGTATTCATAGTCCGCTCTTATTTTAAGACCTTATCTTAAGTAATGTCTTAAGACGCTAATGCGATCCTCCGATTGGCACGTGACACCTCAAGGCTGTACTTAAGACGGTCTTGAAATATCAGACTATGAATACCGGGCAAAATCTCCTGCAAAAATTTCGGGGGATTTCAAGCAACGCGAACAGATCTTTTCTCTGTCTCTCCACTCCGTGAAATCGGTAACCGGCGAACCGGGACGGTTGTGATTTCGCGGAATGTCGTACCGTCGTCGGGCGCGTAATAAAATTACCGTCGGCACGCGCGAGTCTCGAATGCAGCCCCCCCGTGTCTTCCGCTAACGAACTTTACCAACGTGTACACGTCGTACCCTGGATTGTACGGAATATCCGTCTGTCGCCGTTGGCACGTGGACGAGGACTAAGTATCCGGTAACACGCGACCCCGCGCGTACTTGAGCGGCCCGCGACCGCCATCGCCGTCGCCTCGATTCTTATCGACTGGCGAATTAAATGTATTCGTACCTCGCCTTCTTTCGACGCGGTAACGTGGTTCGCGGCACCATCTAGATTTCCGTCGGGCGCGCGCAAGCCGTCCGGTCGATGAACGATAAATTAACTGCGACGGGAATGGAAGATTGATCGTCCCCGGAATCGGAACGAATCGAATGTTCTCATTCTTACTTTTTTCTTTCCTGCTGTTTTTTTTTTTTTTTCTTCATCACCGTATCTCTCTTCTTACTTGACGGAGCTTTCTTCTTTTACGCGCCTCAATTTCATCTGTCTCACTCTCTCCTCTCTTTCTCTCTCGAGTCTCTATTCACTCTGTTGCGAATAATGACTCGCGGTAATCCCGGTGATTCCGACATCAAGCTAATGCGATTAAAAGGGACGGTAAATGATGAAGAATAAATCTCTCAGATACATTAAGGAGGAAATTTCTAAAAGCGTTGTCATAAGAAGAGACAGGAAATGGTCGATGAATCTCTATGCAAATTAATAAAATGTAAAACCGACGACTGTGAGGGACGACTGTAAAAAGATGTCACGCGTGAGGAGAATTTAATGAATCGTTTAAGAGGAAGGGAAACAATTCACTTTGGTTAATCCGAAGGTCTCCTGGATCAGAAGAAGAGACTCGCATATCCTCTCGGTGGATAGAACCATGTTCATCCCGGACGAAAGGTTCCAAGCGATTTTCGGGGAGGCGGACACGTGGACGCTGCAGGTGAAATACGTCCAAGCGCGCGACGAAGGCGAGTACGAGTGCCAAATCTCGACCGACCCGAAGAAGAGTCACATCATCAAGCTCAACATCGTCGGTGAGCGTCGTGCGGAAGGCGATTACTCTCGAAATTTTTCAGAATGGAATCTTAACGAGTACCCTCTACATTCTTTCGAGATCTTACTCCAAAAGACTGAAACTTGAGCCAGTCTTGAAAAAAGAAGTCTTGAAAATAAACAAGAGTGGAATGAAGTCTCCTAAAGAAGGAGTGAGACTTTCATCTCTTCAATGAATCTCACTCCAAAGGAATAGAATCTTATTCTAAAAGAATGAAAAATCTCCCACTCTTGCTGAAAAGTGAAAAATTTCCAATCTCTTTTTTTTTTTTAAGGCCGGCTCAATTTTCACTCCAAAATATTTCGAGAGTAGAAATGTCTACGAGTAATCTATGAATAGAAATAACATAAAACGATTTGAAGATGTCTCTAAAAGTTCTTTAAGAAACACCTTTGAGATATTTCATAAAGAACTTTGAATGATATGTTAAAGTTGTAAAGTGCGTCGATTTTTAGACATTGTAGTCATTCACGAGATCTCACGCTAAAGAATAAAAATTGAGCCAGTCTTGAAAGAGAATGATTCAATTTGCAATCTTTAAGAATGAGACGTCACTCTTCGGAGTGAGGTTTGCTCGAAAAATTTTTCAGAGTATATCACGCCAATCGTATATTCGTCGTTACAGTGCCAAAGATCGAGATCTTGGGGGACCGTGACATGTACGTGAAAACCGGAAGTACAGTCGCAATACGATGCGTGATAAAGCAGTCCCTCGAGGGCCCGTTCTACGTCTTCTGGTACCACGAGGGCGATCGCGTTCTAAATTATCAGCTGGGCAAGATCGACATTCAGACGAAGAGGATCGAGCAGGATACGGTGAGCAGCCTAGTGATCCACAACGCGAGACGGGAGGACTCGGGTAACTATACTTGTAGCCCGAGTAACTTGGATAGCGCGAGTGTGCAGCTGCATGTGCTAAACGGTGAGTGGAACATTTTATCGCTCTGGGACGAAAGTTCGTCGAAAAGAGATTAAAACGCGGGCAATAGTGTTAGAGCGGCTCTTCTCCTTCCCTGAACGTAAACTTTTGCGTTACGTACGATTCACTGTTTACGAGATACTTTTTTTCACACAGACTTTTAAAAAAAAAAACAACCACTTGACAATTAACTCGTCGCGTGTAACGATAACGTGAACTTTTACAAAAAAAAAAGTACTTGACAATTACAATTATCATATTTATTATACAGCGATAATAAACGCGATATGAATATACGAGATTACAGTCTTCATTGCGACGCAGTCTAATCTCATTTATCGTGATTTCATTAGATAGAAATGTACATGTGCTCGATGATTTTCCAGGGGAACACCCCGCGGCTATACAGAGAGGCATCAGTTCAGCGCCAGGTGGCTGTCCCACTCTATGGTGGCTGGCAGGAGTGGTGACACTGTACTCGAGCCACGGCAGTCGTCTATTCGTCCTCGTTCTTTTGATCCTTATGGTTCTTTACTCGAAAAATCCATCTTACATTGCAACGGAACGATAATCAGGCAAGACCGCAAGGACGGTATACGCGTATAATCGATTATCTCCTGCTACGAGACCCCGACTACCTCGAGAGAAGAGATCCTCGATGTTGCGGACCGATTTTCAGAGAGATCAAGGACAAAAAGGGCGAGGATGAAAGGATTGGAGGAGGATAGAGGGTAATATATACGTGATAAAGAGAAAGAGAAAGATCGGAGGAAAGAATAATGATCCCGGAGGTAGTATGTTTTTTCTCCGTACGCGTGAAGTAAGAGTTAGAGGTTCATCTCGATTATCGAGACAGTGATCCGGCCGTTAGAAATTAGGAATTAGTTTATTATATGAATTCTTGTTAAATTGCTGCGAGAAGCCGTACGTGCTGGAGAAGCTACGAAATTTTTGACGTTGTCGGAAATATAAATTAGGTCGAGGGCTTGAACAACGGGTGGTTCGTGAAAACGTTCTTGAAAGCTCTCTCAATTGAAAATCCGAGGCGCGCGCGAGCTGATAATTTTATTTATTCAAAAACTTGCTACAACCTATTTATATTTAGTCATGTCCATTAATTTTATCCAAATAAAATAACGTTATTATTGTCTTATTATCGTCGACTTGAATTGTTATAACAATATTAAGATATTATTGAGTTCACTTTGTTTTTTCGAAAAATGCATTTTACGTTTAACATTTGTCGAATTGTTTCACGTACTTCCCGTTTGTTTTTAGCCCGGCAAAAGTAGAAAGTTACGAAATCTCAACAAAATGAACGCCCGAAAAAAACGATCACGATCGCGAGATCCTATCGCGAGGGCATTGGGTGGTTTCGTAGCACCCATTACAGGAATAAGAAAGCGATAACGTGACGAGAAATTTATAGAGGGAAGAGAAACGATGATAGAGAGAGGAGAGAGGAAGGAGCACGAAAGAAAACGAGTGAAAGAGAAACGTCGACGGGCGCCGACGTAGAGGAAGAACCGTCACGAGACTGGGGAAAAAGCAGAAAAACTTCGTCCGCGCCGCTCGAATAGAATTGAAACTTGTTCGATGAATTTTCGAAATGCGATGTAATTAATTATATTCGATAGCGACCGATTACAACAAAGCGTGTCTATACTTGACGTCTACCGCGTGATCTGGGATCGTCCTGAGACCGAGCGATCTCGGCCATCGTCTCTTAGACGATTTGTCGATACGCGCGCCGAAAATAAATGAAAAATCTCCTTTTCAGTTTATCCGTCGGAGAGACTATTCCAAGATCGTATGAAAAAAAGAAGCAAAGCTTGACAAGATGGGGAAAGGAACAGGGAGTCAAAGTGACCCTATTAAGAAATGTTATTGCTATTAATAACATGACGATAGTACTCGAGGTTAAGAATTCATATCAAACACACGACAAAGTTTCGCCCATATCAAAACCTTTTAGCCACGATATTTCTGATATTTCCAGCACCAAGCCAAATTTAAAACGAGTAGTTGGAATAAATTATTAAATTTATACGGGGAATTTTTATCCGGGCTCATCGATCGCGCGAGTGACATAAAACGGGGTATCACGTTGGAAATTATCATTGCCTCTATAAATACTTGACCGTTATCAAAGGCGACAGGTGTCTCGAGACGATCCGCGATAAAAATTTTGGTAATTAAAGCGCATTGAGTATACACACGTCGATCAAAATATATATCATACGTCCGTACATGCACAGGTTAAACTTACCGCGACGCGGGCCGTACAGATTGCCGCATTTTCCACTGACTGCTCCTTTACGCGTCGTCTCGCGTCTTCGGAAATATCGCGTTCTTTTTTCTTTTTTCTTTTTTTTTTTTTTTATAGAAAATCGAACGTTTTCCCTTTAGGAAGGTAAAAAAATAAAATACTGCCGATACGCTCAAAAAATTAAATACTGCCGATAAAATCACTTTTCAATCCTTGAGGAGGTCCTCCCAAATATCACGATCTTTTCTATATATATTACACGTTTATTCACGTTGGACGACGTTAAAGGAAAGGAGACATTTGTTTTATATAAAGTTTACATAAACGTAGTGTGCCAAGACAAATTTCACGCGTATTCTAAATCGCACATTCAGATCCGCCTTCGATGAACTTTTTTTTCTTGTATATATATATATATATACATATAAGTCGTCAAACGTCTCATCATAACAATAGGCGAGTACTTTCGACAAATACATTTTGATAATACATATTTTCATAGCGGTTTTGGCCCGCGGCGTGTCGCCTCTGAGCATGATCGGTTGTATAATTTAGCGGATGAGCGTACGGCTTTCCGGTAGGCGCCCCCCGCGCGCCTCCCGCGAATTTGCTTTCTTCTCGCAAATACTAGAGGGGAGGGGAGGGAATACTGTTTTTTATAATATTATATATAAATATATATATATATATATAAATATATATATACAAACGAACAGAAATATATATATGTATATGTGTACGCGCGCAAATACGTTGCACATGGGTGTTGAATATTGAACAAGTTTCAGCTCGCACGAACGAGGGGCGCATATAAAGTGGCTGCAGCGTACGTTCTCGTTGAGAAAATTCTTGAGGAAATGCTTGAGAGGTATTTGATGAGGAAGAGGCGAAGGAAGGAGAAAGGGAGAGAGGATGAGAGACAGACAGAGAGCGAGAGCGAGAGGAGAGGAGAGGAGAGGGAGAGAAGGAAATATACTGTAGAAAACACGAGGACAGCGGCAGGAGACGAACGATTCGTTAGAATATCTACGATTCATGTGATTGTAAATAACGTAACATAGCGTATAAATAACGTAACGTTAATTAATGATATGCCGTACGTGTTACGCTAAAGAAGCAAGAAAAAAATAAACTAAATAACGTTACTGTGTAATTTTTCGGATCGTAAAACGCGCATTGGAAATAAGTCTGGCCGCCCGTGCTAACCGGCTCGGGAATCATGCACGGTATCGGGAGGCAAGAGGAATTTCTTACGAGCCATCGACAATGAGCCATTAGCCACTTGGGGCCCTCAGGTCTTAAGCCGTAGGAAATTGGTCAATCGCAGCCGAACGGGAGAAAAATATAATCGACCGTGATCAGGTTCGATCTCTTTACGGCGTTGGAATTAAAGCTCAGATAATGGCTCATTGTAGAGGGCATATATCGTAGAAAGGACCCGTTAACCGACGAAGAAAGAGACGCCGCGCACACGTACGTATGTATACGGGATGTATACCCCAGAAATCGAAGTTAGTCGCGTCTGACAAAATTTTCGTTTTCGACGAACATTTTCTCGCGAAGATAACCCTCGGCCCACACACACACACACGGCGCACGTCCGGATGTGTAATCGAGGGGGTCGAGAGTTCTTAACGCCCGTCGCGTCTAGCCGCGCGCTTCCGGCGCGAAGCTTCGCCGTCGGGCTTATCGCGGTAGATCGGCGTGAAGACGCGCCACGAGGAGGACCGGGAGGCGGACCGACACCGCCAGGAAAACGGTGCGCGCGCTTTCCACGGCGCGCCGTGGTGCGTGTCCGTACTCCCGCGTGTTTGGGAACGAGAAGCGGATCGCGCACGTTTCCCCGTGATGAGCGCGCTCGTGGATAGCACGGGCCGGCCACACACGCGACTAGATGTAACACTAATTAACGCCTAGCGGTAAGCGAACTAAACGGATATAAATGCAGATACATCGTCGGATATAATAGCCAGGCGATATACGAATGCGCGAGCGGCTGTGTGCGTGCGTGTTGGCGCGAACGCGAGTGCGAGCGATATACGGTTGGTGCTTTAAGCCGTGTGAGCCTGTTTTTGCGCGTGTAAGCGACGGGAGAGAGGCGCTGAGAACGGCGCGAAAGGAATGAGAGAGAGAGAGAGAGAGAGAGAGAGAGAGAGAGAGAGAGAGAGAGAGGAAATATAAGTCACACACGAATACGTACATACACACGCGCACACACATACACACAATATACACATACACAATGATATACAGAGAGAAGTTCGTTGGACTGACGTGTACTGAGACGTTGGTCGAATGACACATTTTAGAGATTAAAAAAAAAAGGGTCGATCGGGGACGTAATTACCTTCTTTATATCGTCTCCGCCTTTTCCTTCTTCCCGCGCCTCGCGGGGCCGCTTCTAAAGCAACGAAGAAAAGGACTGAAAACAGTCCTCTGTGAGGCCGCGGTTTAAACTTTATTACCCTTTTCTCTCTTCTTCAACGCGGGCCTCCCCCTCGCGGGGTGGAAGAAGGAACCGTCGCGTTCGTCCCCGTCGCCCTTTTGCTTCAACGCGAGAAAGGAGAAGTAATTTAAAGAGAAAATAGCAGGAGAGAGAGAGAGAGAGAGAGAGAGAGATGGCGGTACGGCGAAAAACCCAGTCAAGAAACGTCGTCTTATGATCTAATTATAACGTCGTAGAACAGCATTAAAATTTTTGTACCAAAATCTATCTTGTAGTCCTTAAATGTCGCGTCACTTCATTTTCCGTTTCCGTTCGACGTTGCCGATCGCGGACTTACTCTATTTATTCCTGGATTTTTCTTTTTTGCGAAACACGCATCGAGGGAGCGAAATGAAATTTGCCAAAAATACCCTCTCGTAAATTCTTCAATTCGCTGCGTTAATTAAAACTCCCGGACCGTCAATGCGATCGTACACACTTCCTCCTCGCATATTTCGTATGCTCGAATAAATCAATTTCTTGCGTGCCGTTGCCTCACGTTATTTCATAACGCAAACCCGTGAAGTAGAGCACGAGAACGGTGCGATTACTAATCGCGATGCGGAAGTTTTTAAGAAAATCTGTCCGATTAATATAATGAGCGATCCGCGCCGAACGCGTGCCGATTTTCCCGAGAGCGAAGATTACGAATCCCGAGGCGTAGACGTTAGAGGGTTGTTAATTAAGGTTTCACCTGGGCTATCAGGATTTTAAGAGTCTTGTTCGATGGTCGGTTAACAAGTGAAACCGAACGTAATTATTTAAATATATCCAATTAATAAAATCAATTTATACCATGCAAGAATTTATAACCAGAGTTGGTCGGTTTTTAGCGACGATTTCAAGCGCCAATAATACCAGAATTATATCGCAAACTTTATTTCTTTTCGCTTGGATCTTCTTATTACTTATGCAATACGTTTTCTTGTATTCTGTTTAAAAAATATGTTTTTTATTACAACAAATATTAAACGTTTTTTTATTTCAACTTGTTAAATATGTTAAACGGTTTCATAAAATATTTATAACGAATGTTAAATGTGATATATGGAAGACATAGTTTAATTTTGTGTTCTAATAATAATAACACGTATTATTCAATCCAGCTCTGTTTCTAAAGTAGATCAGAAAATAATATTGTAAGTAATCTTTCATTAAATGTTATATTTAATCTATTTTTATGATTACTATTTTTGTCCGTTTAGATTTCGAATCCAAACAGGAAATATCCGGTAATTTAGACTTTTGGATGCGGCAACCCTTTAGATGGACATCTTATTTCGAGAGATGCTTGTAACCGTCCTGACAGTACGATGTGCTCTTACGCGTAGATGACACAAGTTAGGTGTT